GACAGACTGGCAGGGACTTCTCTCTGGTGGGTCGAGCCCACATGGGAGGCCTGGCAGCCCAGGCCCTGCCTTCCCCCCCAGGGTCTACATCCCAACAAGACCCCAGCCTGGACCTGCCTGCAGACAAGCAGCTAGTGCAGGCCTCCGCCCTTGCATTAGTAGACAAAGGCCCACGGAGTACACCCAGGCATTAGTCTGAGGTCCCCACCCCGAATGTGCCTCTCCTCTCCTGCTTGCTCTCATCAGCATCGATTTAGGTTTATTATTATTATTATTATTATTACCATCGTCATTTAACTTTACTTATTGTTATTGTTTTCCAGTTTGATCAGAGAGAGAGAGGGAAAGTGAGAAAACAAGCCACGTCTGGGACTCGAACCGTGGTCAGCCACGTGGGATTCTAGCACCTTTAACCACCATGCCACCTGTTAGCCCAGCATTGATTTAGTTTAAGGAATGCTGAGGTATCAACAAGCTCACCTCTCTCAGCCCCAAACACTGTCACATACCTAGAATACCACCATTAGTCATTCATTCCTTTGGGGTGAACATTGTCATCTCTGTATTTTTAAGCATACCACTCCTGGCAGGCCCAGCTGTTTGGGTTTCAAGCACTTGGCGTGGTGAGTTGGTCCTTCCTCAAGCTCTTACCACTGCAGCTCAAAGTTGGCCAAAAGCCATCCTCCCCTGGGCTCTGAACTTGGGGCTCTTCTGGTTTTACTCTCCAAGGCTGGCCCTTTCAGACACTCTGACCCCGAGAAAGGAAGCAGCCTTGCTCAGGAAAGCTTCGCCCCAACTCTGCCTCACACAGCTGAGCTGGTCACCCTGCCCAGGAGGCAGCCTGCCCAGAATCGCATCGTAGAACCTCTGGAACCAAGGTTTGGGGTACTGGGAAAAGGGGTGGCCCTGACTGTAGGGCCTGAGGTAAGTGTCAGGAGCCCCTGTATTCCCTATAGCTCTGATTGGTCGGCCTCCATGTCTCCTCTATCTCCAGAGCAGGATGCCCCACAGCCTTCTCTCCTCCCCAGACCAGCCTAGGCAGCTAGAGGTGCATCATTGTTCCCCATGAACTACCCATCCTTCCCCACTGCTCATCCCCTTCCCTGCCTAGCACCCCTGCTCCACGCCCCACCTCAGTCGTCCCAGAGTTCCCATCCTGCTTGCAAATGCCACTGCGTGCTCTCCCTTCCCTTCCTGCCGGATGTTCCCACTGAGTCAGACCCGTCTACTTTCCCAGCACCGTGACGCACCAGGCTCCTCATCCCGGCCTCTCACACATGTTCACACACACACTGCTCCTTCTCCCACCCTCCCTGTGTGCTGCCCCCCACAGGCTGCTGAGTTCCAGCTCAGTCTGAGAAGGCTGCAGAAGCCTCCAGAAGCCTCTAGTTCCCCATCGCCTGCCCTACTCGATGTTGTTGGAGCTGGGAAGTCCTCCCTCTTTGGAACTCAGGCCCCCAGGTCAGGTCTGGAGACCAGTCTAAACAGGAGGCCGCAGGGATGAGGTAAGGTCATCCTTCTCCTCCGCCCATTGCCAGCCAGGGTGGGAGCAGAGAGCAGCAGGGACAGCAGGCACAGCCATCCCACGGGGAGGGCCTGCAGGAACAGGATCCCCTGAACAAGAGGCCAAGGCCTCCTGGCCCATCAGGCTGGAAGAGCATGTGCCCAGGACAATCCAGCAGTCAGATGGGGACCCAAGTTGCTGGCCATGTGCTTCCCAAGTCACTCACACAGCATGTCACGACTCCGAACAGCCCTTGCGTTCTCCTCCCACTTTCCCCAGACACCGGGATGTGTCTGACTGCTCTTCTGTTGGACAGAGGCTCTCTGAGGGCAGGGCGGAGTACTAAGAGCCTCTGGATCCCCAGGACCTGGCACAGTGGCCCCCGCACACTACAGAGCCTCTATCAGCACCTGCAGAAGGAATACGTGATCCTGTGCAGAGGGTGGGTATCCTGGGTGTGGCTGTGACTGCCCTTCTGTCCCCTCAGAGTTCACACAGCCCTGAGGGAGCTGGTGGGTGGTGAAGGCCCCTAAGAGTGCCCCCTCTCTGACCTGGGGAGAAGTCCAGAGGCGACAAGGATGACAGCAGGAAGTTGACCAGCCTCCTCTCCTCCGTGAGACTGTGGCTGTTACTCTGTGCTGCCACTAGGAGGCAGCAGAGTTGTGAAAGCCTGATTCTGGCTTTTGTCCAGAGCGGGTCCCTCCTTCTCCCCAAGCCTCCATAACCACCTCCTTAAAACGCCATCACACTAGAGAAGCCATCTGGTTATAGAAGCCTTCTTTTGTTTATGGCTTGACTGAAACCCCCTTAAAGGTGGCATCTTCTGCCCAGGTCACACACAGCCTGTTCGGGCACAAATGAGACTAGAAACCAGGGTGGCTGCCTCCCCGCCCAAGGCTCTCCACCAGTTGCCGGGCCGGTGCTGTTTCTGCTGAGACTTCAGTCTGTGCCCTCCCTCTCCCAGCGCCTCAGAGCACAGGCCTGGGTCATGTCCCTTCCTTGCTGGTCTCTACCCTCCCAATCCCCTGCCAGCTCAGGAGTCAGCCTCCCCCTGGGGTGGACTGCATTTGGACCTTATCTGTGGTTCTTAAAACACAGACATGGCTGGGACCAACAGATGGTGTAATGGTTACATCGCTGGACTCCTGTGTAGTCGACCGTGGTTTGAGTCCTGGACTCAGTGGCTTAAAACTCACGCCGGGCGTGTGTGCGTGCATGCCCAAGATCCCGAGAGGAGAATGGAGGAGAAGGGATTGCGGCGTGACCATCCCCCCTGGGGGGTGATTTCTCACTTTCTATCTCTCTGTCTCTCTGAGTAAATATGCCCTACAGCAAAAACTCTCTAAAAAATAAAACAAAAGAACAGACATGGAGCCGACCTTGAGTACTCGTTGGCTGTAGGTTGGGATTCTCACTGAGGAGAACAGGAGAGGGAAAGGCCCCCTGGCCCATGAATGGAGACACTTGGATACCAGGAACACAGACCTGGCAGAGGCTCTGCCCCTGGGCCTCAGTCACTGTTTCCAGAATGGCCTACCCCATAGATGACCGGCAACGTGCAAGTGTCCTTCCTAGCCCTCCTCGCCAGGATGCCATGGATGAGGCAGGGTGGGGTGGTAGATTCCAAGTGAACCTCACCCTTACAGCTGTGTTCCTTATCTCTGTGGTCCTCAGCTACACAGCGAGGGCGTGTGCTTCACCAAGCCGCCTGGAGATGAAATGAAATAATACCCATAACATCCTCACCTGGAACGTGTGACCCAGAGTAAGGGCCCAAAACAGCTTTCTCCTGGGCCAGCAGATGATGTAGCAGTACATCTCTGGACTCCCACCTGGCCGGTCACGGTTCAAGTCCCAGGCCTGACAGCTTGAAACACGCCAGGCTCGTGTGCATGCGTGCCCAAGATCCCGGAGGAGAATGGAGGAGAAGGGATTGCGACATGGCCATCCCTCCTGGGGGGTGATTTCTCACTTTCCCTCTCACTATCTCTGTCTCTCTCTCTTTGACAAGTGCACATGCCCAAAACAAAAATCTCTTTAAAAAAAAAAAAAGCTTTCTCCTTGCCTCAGGGAACTTCGAGAAAGCCACCTTCTGGATGCTAAATATGCAGCGTTCTTTGAGGGGCTCCATACCTGCCCAATGGGGCCTGAGCACACTGCCCATTCTGGGTCGTGAGACCTGGTGAGAGAGACCCAGAGGTACCCCGACAGCATGCTCTCTGCGCCTCTCTGCGGGTCTCCTGCTCAGCAGATTCTGCAAAGCCGGGCTCCCGGACTGCTTCAGGGAGCCCTCCCCGTCTGCTCCCCTGGCCTGCGCCCCGTGCTTTCTGTAGTCCCAGGCTCCGGCTGCCCTCTCTCCCCTCCAGCACTGGAGCTCCTGGAAGCCATCTGGGCGCTTCTCTGCCTCTGGATCCTGCTAGCCATTCCAGAGCTCAGAACCGTTCTTCTTGCCTGGGGCCTGGGCCCTTAAGGGTCACTGGTACCACTTTCTGGCTGGATGGGCGAGCATGAGGGAGGTGAGCGAGGCTGGGTCACATGGCAGCCCAGCTACTAGGCAGGTGGCCCTGGGGTGGGAAGGGTGAGAGGGTGGCTAAAGCCCAGCGTCCCTTTCCTACAACCCATCCCCACCCCACCATGGCCATTCCTGTCTCTAGAAACTGCTGTCCTGACCCTAAGATTAGGAGTTTGTGTGTGGGCCTTTCGGTCAGGCCAGCCTGGCCCTGGGTGAGGAGACCACTGAGAACGTGGAACTGTGGGGACAGCCCTGGGCAGGTGCCAACTGCCAGGGACAAAGTCTGGGCCACGCCCTTCCTAAGAACACACATGCCAGCACAGGGTGGTGCCCCGCTGGAGCCCTCTGAGCCGTCTGAAGGCAGAGGAAGGCTGGGCTGGGAACCTGCTCCTGTCTGCTCACCAGGGCACACCCAGGCCTGGGCTGTCACATACATCTCAGCTCTGGGCCCAGCAGGAGCTGGCGAGCCTGCTGTGGAACTGAACCCCTGGGGCCTGTCTGGGACTCTGTTCTCCACAGTGGGTGCAGAGGGGACTCAAAGTGTTTTCCCAGAACCCCTACCTTGACCCCCCCCCCAAGCCTAGAGCTGCCTCAGCAGAGGCTGAGTGCTGCCCCTGCCAGGGTTCGCCACAACATGGCATTCACAGGCACCAACATGTGCTCCAGCTGACCACAGCAGTGCAGGGACAAGGAGGTGAGGACCCAGGCTCCACCTCAGAGGCATAGGGCTCAGGCCCACCAAGGAGTTTTCCAGAAGAGGATGAATTTCAAGGGTTGAGCCAGACTCAGGCAAGGGGGAGACAGTGGAGGGCATTCCCTGGGTGCACAAGGAACAGAGAGGCAGCAGCCTGGGCAGGGTGGAAGGGGCAGGGACCCAGAAGAGAACAGGAGACCAAAAAGGTATGAACCAGACTGGGGAGGGTGCCAAAGGGCAGGCAGGGGGGCCAAGGAGCTCAGGGGAGCTCACCAGAGCTTCACAGCAGGGGCAGCTGAGGCCGCACAGTGGTTTAGTGGGGTGTAGGCAGTTAGGGAACTGTGTCCATATGCCAGAGGGAGGGAGGCAGCTGAGCCAGACAGGACACCCCAGAGCCTTAGCGTGGCTGAGGGTGGCCACGGGATGCCAAGAGAACATTCAGGTCTCAGGTCTGGGGTCCTCCCAAAGGCAGGGAGCAGAACAGTCTGGCCTGCACGGTCCCTGCACTGGGCAGGCAGAGGCTGGAAGGCTGGTATGGAACAGATGGGCTCTGCACCTCCTTGAGACCCCGCGTGTGGGCTAAGGTATGGGTGAGGTCATACCCTACAGGGCAGGGAGAAGATCTGGCAGGAGTGAGAGACAGAACGAGAGACAGCCCCTCCATATACCCAGCATGTATATACCTGGTGTGCCCAGGGAGCTCTCTGCAGACTTGAACCCAGAACCTTCCCACGTGGGATTGCCTTCCAGAGCATTGCATTTTACTACTGTGTCGCCATCTGGCTCCAGACATCATTTTGAGGGGTGGCAAGAAGGACAGAGTCCAGTAGAAGGCTGAGGGGGTAGGTGGGAGGGGGCTGGGTCCCACTGAGAAGAGGGAGGGTCTTTGGAGTGGCCGTAGGTGGTGCGGCTTGGGGGTGCGAGACCACTGAGATCCATGGCTGGGACACCATGGTTGCTGTGGGGAGAGGGCGCAGCCTGTGAGTGGGGAGGGGAGGAGGGGGAACAATTGCTCCCATTTGGAACTGGCCCGGGTTTAGCACTGAACATCCAGCATCCAACCCGCACCGCAGTCCTAGGCCACCAGGATCTCAGTGGACCTGGGGGAAGGACGGTGTTGCAGGAGGTTGAGGTGGGAAGGAGCCTATCGGGAGCCTCAGTGAAATGCTGAGTGGTGGCAGAGGCCAAAGAGACAGGTGGGCAGCTCCTCAGTGCTGAGCAGGGACAGAATGATGAGGCCGGAGATCAAATGGGTCATCAACACTTATTTACACTGATAATGACAACGCCTTGCACTTCTATTTCACACTTCCAAAGCCTCACACATGTGATGTCAGCTCTGAAATCTGCGAATTAGCCAGAGCAGGTGCTGTTAGCCTCTCCTTGAAGATCAGGGCCGGGACCAGTCCAGAAGTCTCTGAGGCTGGACACTCTGCACTGCACCTGAATCATTGAGGCCAGGCCCAGGACCAGTCACCTTTGCCGTCAGCCATGAGAAACCTGTCCACTTAAACTGAGGCGCCTGGCTGTCCTGCCTCTGCCCCGCCCTAGAAGACAGCCCGGGAGGCAGAAAGTCTTGCTGGCTCTGGCTGTAGGCGCTGGGTATCGTAGAGAGGGCAATATCTTCCTTCAGTCCTTCACTGTATGTCCGCACCCTCCCAAAGATCCCCACACAGCCCCCCACTCCCCCAGGAAATGCCCTTCAGCTGCTTTCTGTCCTCCCCTGACCTCTCCCTGATCCCAGGCTCCCCTCCTGCTCCACAGAGCTCCCTTCTGGCAGGCAAGCCCTGCCTCAGTCAGCACTTGGAGCACACAGGGAGTGCTGATGGTCTGGAGGCACAGTGTGGGAAGGTAGGGGGGACACACATGGTGGAGGCTCTGCTTGCCCTCAAAATCCCAGGGCTAGGGACCAGCAGTTAGCATAATGGCTTTGTCGCTGAACTCTCATACAGTCGACAGTGGTTCGAGTCCCGGAACTGGTGGCTTAAAACTCACACCGGGCGCGTGTGCGTGCCTGCCCAAGATCCCGAGAGGTGACTGGAGGAGAAGGGATTGCAGCGTGGCCATCCCCCCGGGGGGTGATTTCTCGTTTTCTGTTTCTCTGTCTCTCTCTGTCTATCTGGCAAGCGCACGCACCCTATAGCAAAAACCTCTCCAAAATAAATAAATAAATAAGTAAATAAAATCTCAGAGCTGGGTAGGAAAAAGATCCCATGGGGGCTGGCAAGTGGCAGAGCAGTTAAGGTGTCTGGACTCCCACATGGCTGACTGCGGTTTAAGTCCTGAACCTGGCAGCTTGAAGCTCACGCCAGGTATATGTGCATGCGTGCCCAAAATCCTAAGAGGAGAATGGAGGAGAAGAGGATGCAGTGTGGCCATTCCCCCCAGGGGCGTGATTTTTCTCTCTCTGTCTCTCTGGCAAGCACACATGCCCTATAGCAAAAAAATCTCTCAAAATAAATAAATAAATAAATAAAGCCATGAACACACGTATTCTGCTATAGGGTGACTCTAGCGTGCCCACCACGGTAAGGGGAAGCCTCCCCTCCCACAGGCCTCCTAGCCCACCTAGGCCTCCTAGACCACACTGTCTTTTCTCTCTCTCTTTTTAAAACTTGCTACAGGGCACATGCAGAGAGAGAAAGAGAGAAGGAAAGTGCAAAATCACTCCCAGAGGGGATGGCCACACCACAATCCGTTCCTTCCCTGTTCTCTTCTTGGGATTGTGGGCAAACATGCACACGTGCCCGGAGTGTTTCCCAGGCCACCCAGACTGGGACTCAAACGGTGCAGTCAGCCATGTAGGAACCAGCTGCCTTAACCACATGTCGCCAGCTCGCCCGCTGCCCCATCTTCTCTGACCAACACAGGGCCTGCCTCTTCTGCCCAAGACCTCAGTGCCTTGTCCACCTGCCTGCCACAGCCCAGACCCGGAGATCAGACTCTGACCCCAGAGATGGCGAGAACCGGGCCCTGAATGCGGAACCAGAGCTCTGGGCCCATGCACCCGCAGCCTCACAGACTCTGCTTCCCTCTCGGATGTCCCAAAGGACACGGCCCTCTCCTTTAAGCTTCCAGCCAAAAGCTCGGGGTCGGGGTAGACGGGTGGTCCTGTCAGGGTCCTGGAAGGGGGAAAGAAGGCCCTGGAAGGGGAGCGTCTGGAAGGCAGGGCCTGGGTGGATGCAGGCAGTGCCACTCACACAGGGTGGGCCTAGTGGGAGGGAGTCCGGCAGGCACCACACCCAGGTAACCTTCCCGGGGCCGCCGCCCTCCCCAGCAACTGGTGCTGCCTGCAGGCTCACGACACTTGTGTGCAGAAGGGACTGATAACTCCCCACCTAGTCATAATCCAAAGTCCTCTGACCATAATGTTACCAAGCAGGCTGGAATTTTTCAGAAAAGCATTCCTGAAAGGGGCGAGAATCTCTCCTAATGTGAAGAAGGGGCCCGGGCTCTGGACTCCAGCGGTGCTCAACTGGGACTGACACACAGACTGGGTGACCCCGAGCAAGTTTCTTGATGTCTTTGACCCTGGCTTTTTTTTAAAAAATCTGTAAAAGAGAGGAGAGAATAACATTTGCCCCCAAAGCTGATACAAGATCATTGATCCTGTAAAAGAACCTGACACACGGAAATACTTTCCTTTCCTGTCTACCATGGAAACGAAGACGAATCCCTGCTTTTCCTCGTCTCCGTTTGTCAGATTGTTTTCTGCTATGGTAATGCTTTGTTTTTATAGCTCCAACTGACGTCAAATTGGCCTACCGTAAACTGCATGTACTTAAGCTGTGCAATTTGATGTTTTGCCTGGTGTATACTCCGTGAGTCCCCCCACCCCACGATCAGGGTAATGAGTCTGACCGTGGGGGTGTCTTCGTGTCCTTTTTTCATGTGGTTTATCTGCCCCTTCCCCAGCCGTCCCCCATTCCCAGGCAACCACCGATGTGTTGTCACCATCAACGAGCTCACATTTTCTAGAATGCTACAAAACTCTAAAAATGTATAGATAAAATTATACGGCTTTATCTTTTTTGTTTTGTTTTGCTTTTTTTTTTTTTTTTTGCTAGAGGACACATGCGCTCACCAGAGAGAAAAAGAGACACAGAGAGAAGGGACGAGGAGAAAGCACCCCTGGGGTGTGGCTGTGCCAAGATCCCTTCTCCTCCAACTCTCCCTCATTTTGGGATTGGGGCATACAAACCTGCCTGGGGTGTTCCTCAAGTCATCTGAACCCACAAAATCAACCAGGTGGGACTCAGCTGTCTTCACCACCAGGCCACAGACCTGGCTCCAGCATCACATTCTCTATATCTAGCTTCTTTTACTTAGCATGATTGTTTTAAGATTCAGTCAGACTAGCCTGTATCAACAGTTCACTCCTTTTTATCTTTTGGAGAGATTTTTTTCACCAGAAAGACAGAGATAGAGAAGGTAAGAAATCACCCCTCAGTGGGGATGACCATGCCACAATGCCTTCTCCTCCATTCTCTCTCTCTTTTTTTGGGGGGGAGAGGTTTTTGCTATAAGGCATGTGCACTCGCCAGAACGACAGAGAGAGACAGAGAGACAGAAAGCGAGAAATCATCCCCCAGGGGGAATGGCCACGCTGCAATCCCTTCTCCTCCATTCTCCTCTTGGGGTTTTAGGCACATACACACATGCGCCTGGCGTGAGTTTCAAACCACCAAGTCCGGGACTGAAACCTCTGTTGGCCAGGTGGGAGTCCAGCACCTTAACCACTATGCCACCTGCTGGCCCCACTCCTTTTTATTATTGAGTCGTATTCTATTGGTCATTTGCTTAGTGATGAACATTTGGGAAGTTTATGGTTTTTAGTTGTTCCAAAAGCTACTATGAGCTTTCGCGTATAAACATTTTTGAGGACTATATATATTAATTTTTCTCAGGTTTATGTTACTCTTATAAACGAGTCTAGGGACCAGCAGGTGGCATGGTGGTTAAGGTCCTCAACTCCCACCGTGGTCTACCATGGTTCAAATCCTAGAGCCGCAGCTTTAAAATCACATCAGGCACATGTGCCTACATGCCCAAAATCCTAAGGAGAGAGTGGAGGAAAAGTGATTGCGGCGGGGCCGTCCGCTCTAGAGGGTGATTTCTCACTTTCCTTCCCTCTGTCTCTCTCTGATGAGCACACATGCTCTTTGGCAAAAACCTAAAAAAAAAAAAAAAGTCTACTGCAGTTGAGGTGTAACCATTCATCTAGGCTCATGACAGGTGAACCTGGAAACACTGGCTCTTTTGTTCTCTTTGATCGAAATGAGGACTGCCCCAGCCCCCGTGCCCAGCTGAGTCTCAGATGTCCTCAGTTTTGCACAATATTTGTGAGCCCAAGAAAGAGCAGCATGAGCCCAGGTCAGCCCTGGGGATGAGGTCATGCAAGAGGTCCTTCTTTTTCTTTATTCAGAAAAACATTTAATTTTGAAAAATATGTTAAAAAGAGAGGAAAGGGGACCAACAAATGGAATACTTGTTATGCCTCTGGACTTCCACATGGCTGACCACAGATCGAGTCCCAGACCTGGAGACTTGAAACTCAAGCCAGGCAAGTGTGCATGTATGCCCAAGATCCCGAGAGGAGACTGGAGGAGAAGGGATTGCAGCATGGCCATCCCCCCTGGGGGGGGATTTCTCGCTCTCTGTCTTTCTGTATATTTGGCAAGTGCACATGCCCTATAGCAAAAATCTCTCTTAAAAAGAGAGAGAGAGAGAGGAAAAGTAAACACAAAATAGTAACCACGGAAATAGGAGGCCAGTTATTACTGAGCAATAACTGACTCCAATCCTTCCCTCGTTCACCAAATATTTAGTAGGCACGTGCTAATGCGAAGGCGACTGCTAAGGGCCAGTCTCTGGGAATATAAAGAGGACCAAGAGAGTCTCTCGGTCCCTGCATAGGAGGAGTATAGAGTCCAGTGCGGGCAGGAGACATCAAAAGATAAGGTCCAGGGGCAGCAGATGGTGTAGCAGTTACTTCGCTGGACTCCAACATGGCCAGCCATGGTTCGAGTCCCAGACCCGGTGGCTTCGAACTCATGCAGGGTGCATGTGTGTGTGTGCCCAAGATCCTGGAAGGAGAATGAAGGAGAAGGGATTATAGTGTGGCTATCACCCCAGGGTGTGATTTCTCATTTTCCCTCTCGTTATGTTTCTCTCTTTCTCTCTCTCTCTCTCCAGCAAGTGCATGAACCCTAAAGCAAAAACTTCTCACAAAAATAAATAAGAAAGAAAGTAAATGTTCAAGGAGACCAGAGAGCTTGTTACAGGGGCACCTGGTCTGTCTGCAGGGGCTCAGGGAGACCAGTGTGGCCAGAGCGCACCCAGCAAGGGGTCGGCATGCAGCAGAGGCCACCAGGGGTAGGGGGGCTTGCAGAGTGCAGAGCAGGTGGCAGCCTGGGCACCAAAACCCCAGGCTCCCTTCCCACTTGTCTAGATCCTATCCCGGAAGTCCCCTTTCTGCATGCAGTTTCCATACCCAGGCTAGCCCCTTGGGCCGGCAACACACTGAGAATTCAGACTTGGGGCTAGGCAGCCAAGACACAGGTCCCCACAGCTCGACCTCGAGGGTCGTGACTTTCTCCCCCACCTGCCGCACAGAGGTGACCGTCCTGGCTAGCTGTCGGAGTCAGCGGGCTAACTCAGGCATGTAGAGCACCACATGCGTGATCTGGCATCCAGTAGGAGCTCCACGTGTGTTTAGAGCCAGCCCCTGGGTGCTGAACAGCCTTGCCAGAGTTGGGGACGCCCGCCTGGGCTCTGTGGCATCTCATTACGACCAGCCTGGTAAGGGGTTGTTGCTCTCTCCTCCACCCTCCCACTCCCCACCCCCACCTGCTCCTCTCCTCACGCACCCACGTCCTGCTTCCAGCTGCTCCTTGCTCAGATAAGACTAGCCCATCCCTTCCCATCCCCATCACCCCACCCTCTGCCCATGACCTTCCTAGTGCACCTGACCAATCCCAGCCCCTCCCTACCCTGTACAAATACACCTGAACGGATGGAGCCCCAGATTCCCTGCCTCTGCCCTGCACTCTCAGGTAAGAGTCTGGCTGACTTGCTGTGGGCAGGGAGCAGGAGGGTCTGTGTGTGTGTGTGTGTGTGTGTCTGGTCGTGGCGTGTGTGTGTGTATGTGTGTGTGTGTCTGGTCGTGGGCCCTCCGGGGCTGTGTGTGTGCTGGACTGGCATCTGGGCCTCGGTGTCCTTGTGCGGGCACTGCGCATCTGCGCGCCGGTCTGTGCTCTCAGAGTACAGCGTGTTTCTGTGCCTCGCGCTGTATCTGCGCGTGCCTGTCCACTGCCCGGCACCAGCCCTGAGCGGGGCCCGGCACCCCCACTTGTTACAACCGAATTGACAGCTCTACCACGCCAGGCAGAGGGGCTTAGATGTAGGTCAAAGGGATTGCACGAGGTCCCTTCCAGACTGCCCATTCCTGTCTTCCCAACTCCTGGCCTGAATCAGAGACAAACAATCCAAGGCCCGTCTTTTCTCCTTCTTCCAAGAGACTGGCCCCAAGGCGGTTTTGTTTGTCTGTTTTACTGTTCCCACCCCCAAGTCCAGCCCCATGGGCCTCTTCCAGCCTCATCTCTCACTACCAGAAAGGGTGAGGGAGCAGAAGGGTCATGGGCTAGTTCTGAGGTGGATTGTACTGGGCATCTGAGGCACAGGTAGAAGCTCGTGAGAAATGGGTGGTTTAAGAGATGCCGCGGACTGCGTCCTGCCAGGAGCTGGGGCTGTTCCTTTCACACCCAATAAGGGTCTGTGTGTGTGTGTGTGTGTGTGTGAACAATTGTGCTTGTACTCTCAGCAAACACAGGCGACCAGAGAGCCCTGATTGTCAAGTACTCGGTGCAGAAGTCACATGCTATACTCTGATTAGTGAGTCAGAAAAAAACGAGTGCACCGTATGTGTAGGGTGCCGGGGGATCCATTCTAGGGGTACCCACTGTGACTTGGCCAGCCCCAATAAGGCGAGGCCAGACCTCAGCAGCTCCACCTGCTGTGTTGGTGAATGACACGTGGGAGGACCTATGCCTCGCGCCTGGAGTGCCAGCTCCAGCCTGGGTGCTAAGCTAAGCCAAAGGGAGCAGTTTTATCCCTTTGGTCCTTTGAAGGGGCTGTGTGTGCATCCCTGGGAGGGAAGGAGGAAGAAGTTCAGATTCTAATTACAGTAAACTGAAATTTGACCTGTTGAACCACAGGTGTTCCTCCTGTCACCTCCGCTCTGACCTCATAAAGATGGACCACCACGGTAAGCACCATGGCTGGGAGGCCGTGGGTGGAAGAAGGGAGCGAGGAGGAAGGAGAGCAAGGGGCAGGGGCGATCAGTCCAATCTACTGCATGCCCAAGATGTGCACGTGTATGCATGTGCGTGTGTGAAGGCGACACGGAAACAATCCCTTCTCTCAGAGAAGTGTGTGTGCCCTTCATCTCACTAGATCTTTGACCTCAAGAGTAAAATAGGCAGGTTCATTGCACAGACGAGGCCCAGGGAAGGTAGGGGTCATGCTCAAGGTGAGTCTGGAGCCCGAACCCAGTCGTTGGCAGCTGTGTCATTGGCTTCTCTCAAAAGCAACAGAAGGCCACTCTGGCCTTCAAGAAACAGCAGGTGACTTCTGCTTAAGGGGCACTGTGAAAGACCCAGCACCACTGTGGGAGGCCCGTGCTGGGCAGGCTGGCTGGCCCATAGAAGTGCATTTCCTACAGGAAGGCAATGAGAGCGGAACTGCAGATTTCCTAGTGGCAGGAGGTATAAGTGAAGATCAAAGACGGGACCATAGGGCCATTGGCAGTAGCCAACCAACAGCTCTGAGGAGCTGAGCAGAGACTGGGCTAAGATGAGTGGGAGATGCTGGGGGCAGACAGGAGCCAGTGGCCCGGGTGCAGGTGGAAGCAGAAGAATCAGGATTTGCCACTGTGAGTACCTCCCTCGTAACATGGAGCTTGGCTGAGGCCAGAAGTGCAGACAGCTGACAGACCAGGGACAAGAACCCGCACCTCCTAACTGGCCCCCAGCTAACCAGGAAGACTCGCCAGCTCCTGAGCACACAGGTGTGCACAGTTGAACTCTGAACTGACTTTCGCTATCTATCTGTTGTTGGGCGAATGATAAAGGAATGATGTTAGGAATGATGGTGTGAGGAGTCGCTGGGATGGGGCTGTGGGCACAAAATCAGAGCAGGCTGCGGAGACTGGTTTTTCACTGCAGAACCAAATGACCGACAGCTTCTTCTTTCCCCTTCCTCTCCCACAGGTCCAAAGGTGAGAAAGTTCCCAACACTTTCACCTTTTTCCTCCCCTCTGCTTTGTCCCCCAGGCCCCCAGCCTCCTTGCTAGACCCCCAAGCGGAAGGAGAGCAGGCTGCTGGGGTGAGGTGCTGCTGCTCGCTGGCTGCTCGTTCATCCAGCCCCTGCTGGCTGCAGCCTTCTCCTTGGCGTCTCTTCTGTTTTCCCATCTGTCTCTCTCCTCGCCTCACTTCCCTCCCTGCCCCAGCAGCCCTCCTCTCTCCTGCTGCTTCCCCGCCTGTTCCATGCTTCTCTGCATTCCTGGCTGCCCCCACACGCCCTCACTGGATGGTGGGCTTGCTTCCAGCCCCAAGCACATTGTGGTGCCCTGGGATCTGCTTCTGCCAGGGAAGGCAGGCTACCCCTCCCTCCTCCTCTACCCATTGGCTGCCACCAGCAGACCCAGCTCCCAGGCCTAGATCTGTGACCCCACCCCAGGAGGAGCCATAGAAGGGGCTGGGGGTAGGAAGAGCCTGGATGGGGCAGGGGCTGCTCTAACGTGGTCACAGGAAAGCCCCCAGCCTTGAAGCCAGCCTCTTTCCAGCTTATACCAAGCCCTAACAGGGCCCTAGGAGGCAGAAGCAGACTAGGAGTTCCCCCACCCCTGCTCTTCAGGGTCCCAGGCCCCGGTGTCCTAGTGCAGAAGCAAGGTGGTGTCCTTTCTCTTCCCTGGGCCTGTGGCAAGAGGCAAAGAAACTTCTCCAGCCTTGGGGACTCAAGAGTGGTTCCAACCAGGGCTAGCAGGTGGCAGAGTGGTTAAGGCATGGACTCCCAAGTGATTGACCATGGTTTGAATCCTGGACCCGGAGGCTTGAAACTAATGCTGGGGGCCTGTGCGTGAGTGCCCAAAATCCTGTGAGGAGAAGGGAGAAGGAGGGATGGCAGCATGGCCATCTTCCCAAGGAGTGATTTCTTGCTTTCTGCCTCTGTTTCTCTGTCTCTCCAGCAAGCATACATACCCTATAACAAAAATCTCTCTCTAAAAATAAATAAATAAATAAAATAATGGTTCCAACCAAGACAGAAGGTTAAACCACACCCTTCCAAGGCCTCTTCTGACGGAGGCAGTAAAACCTGGAGTTTACTTTCTGTTCTTCCTAATTTCTTGGGTTTGGCACCTGCTTCGGGACAGGTGTGGGCTCACACACACATCCGTTCTGATGGACACACAACCATGTGCCCCATGCATAGGTCTCCATGCAGAGCAAGCATGTATATGCGCACACTCACACGCTTGTACACAGACACCGCTTCAGGTAAGGGCAGCACACACCTGGGCGTGCATGCGTGCATGTGTATGCCCACTACCCTTACAGAGGGCACGTCCTCACCTTGCCACTTCCTTTCCTTGCTCACCTCTCACCCTCCAGCTGCCCTCCTCCTTGGCTCCTGCATCTGCCCTGACCCTGTGTTCTGGCTCCCCTACCCTGGCCTCAGTCAGCATCTCTGTAGCCTCTCCCAGCTTCAGCCTGGCCCCTGAATGCAGCTCCCAGCATGGCAAAGGCAGCTCCTAATAACTCTGCATATGTTCCTGAGCGAGCAAAGGAAGACCAGATACTTGGCTTCAAATTACAGATCAAATAAGCTCAGGTCCAAGAGCAGGAATCCTATCTCAGCTCAAGGGACAGAAACCAATAAATCTGGGTGCTACTTCTTCTGTCCACTCAGTGCTCTGGCTTCATTAAGACAAAAGGCACATGCTGGGGAGTGGTCACTTGATGTCCCTCCTGGGCACCAGCCCTCTACTCCATCCCTTGCTGGTGTCCAGGAATCCTGAATCCCCTGGGGAGGTGAGGTGAGAGGAGTTGATCATGAGTAAGAATGGCACTGAGCTCTAACTGATACTGCTCCTTTGGCTTTTCACAGGGGCACTGCCATGGTGGAGGACCTGGCCATGGCCATGGGCCCTGCCACGGTGGGGGGCCTGGCCATGGAGCCAATCCTCCAGGTCACTGTGGACCTCCTCATGCCCATGGTCCTGGGCCCCACCCACCCCATGGTCCTGGGCCCCACCCACACCCAGCACCTTGCGTGCCCCCTCCTGGCCACGGTCCTGGGCACCACCACCCCCCAGGGCACTGCGGGCCCCATCCTGGTCCACATCACTGAGGAAGCAGAAGAAAACAGAAGACAAGTTGAGGAGCCTGAATGGGTTGCCCTGCAGACCTGGCAGGTGACCTGAACTATAATCTTCCCAGTAAACAGCCATGTTCTAGTCTTAAAAGAGCCTGTTTTCCTTCACATCCAAACTGACACTCAGGAAACTGGCTGTTTCTGAGTTTCGTAGCTGTGAAAACAGGTGGGGGGGGCATTCTCAGAAGCTGGTGCTGGTGCTGCCGCATGTAAGGTCACCCCACCTTTCCTTTTCACTTCTGCCTCCTCCCATCAGGGGGCCTGAAGTGTGGCCTCGTCACCTCTACCCCATCTCGTACACCCAGACCTTGTAAGCCTTCTAAGGCTCCAACTTGTGTGCCCTACTCTGTAGATGAGAAGCCTTCAATGGCTCCCTCTCTCCAGATAGATTTCTCACCATTCCTTGAAAATACATGGAAACTTCCAACCTCCTTAACTTTGCACAGCTCCCTGCTCCCCACACCAGGTCAGGAATGCTTTTCTTCTTCCCTACTTCCACATTTTCAAAGCCAACCCTTTCTTCCAAGCCAGCGGAAGCCCTACAACTCCATAAAGCCTTCAGGAAGAGAGAGGGCCTCCCTCTGTGTACACTGCCCATTTCTCTGCAACAAGCTGCCTACGAGAGAGGGCCTCAGTCATCATAGCCTAGACACACCCTGCCCTCGGCTCAAGTTTACGGCATGGTGCTTTATTTCCCCAGTCAACCCGTAAGCTATTCAGGGCAGGCTCACTTCTAAACTCTACCACCACATCCCCTGTGCCCTGTGTTTTGAACAGACTAGCACTGGCAGACGTTTTATGAATACCTGTAGCCCAGCCTGGGTTCTGACTCTGCCCAGGCCTATGCCTTCAGCAAGGCCTCCACCCTGCACACACAGCCAGGCCCTGCACGGCCTGTGCTGTGAAACCCTTTCTGCCTACCCACATCCTGCATCCTGGACCCACTCCACTCCCCAGTCCTCAGGCTTCTCACACTATGGATATCTATTCTAGTTCTGCCACAGCCCCTAAGCCACGCAGGTCCAAGGCCCATCACTCTCATGGGCTCTACCCTCCCTCCCTCAGGCCTGGTCCCTGATGGGGGAGCCACCTGGCACTCTGGGGTGAGTGACTTTTGGGTACCTCCCAGGCTGAGGTGGGGGATGGGGTGACAAGGAAGGGAGCTGGGGATGCTCTGAGTAGCCGCTCCCTCCCCTTCCACCGTACTCCACTCTTGAATAACGGACTGAGGATCACAGATCCAGGTTCAGGTCGAGTTGAATGGGAAGAAAGACCCAACTTGAGCAGACGCCTAGGCCCACTGGAGAGGAGAGGAGAGCGCTAAACGGATTAGAAAGAAACATGGGACTACAGTCCCTCGGCCCCTGGATCCCCGGCGTCCTGCGCTACGCCCTTTCTGGCTGGAAGGGTCTGCGTTTCACGTCGGCCTGGGTCACGCTCCCTGGTGAAGGCCCCAGGACAGACCGAACCTCAGGGCTAAGAGCAACTCTCAGACCCGGATAGGTTATAGGGGCCCGCACAGCCTGCCCCCGGCTCAAAGCCCCAGATCCCCCAGCCGGGCGCCGCCGCGCCGCAGGAAGCCTCC